AAGGGTGGCAACAAGCTGGAGAATAACTAGAAACAGTGAAGGCAACTTGCAAAATGATTATATGGCACCCTTTCTCTCTAGTGTCTATCATAAATCCCATCATTGATTCCTACACTGTTCTGTAATACTGACTAAACCTGGCCATAAACATTACAGAGCAATTGATTTCTGTTTAGAGTTCAGGTATAAACTTCATGTTCACAGGTAGATCATCCTAGCCTGTTTATTCCTATACAGCATAGAGTGGGAAGGAGCCTGCCACCTCCAGCCAGTGGTAAATTTGTGCCTTGGGTCCCTGGCTGTTTTAAATTCATGGGCCCCCGTTCCATTTTATCGAGATCTGATGGTGATTTAATGGCACGCATAAGGGTTAGAGTACACAGGTGTTTGTGTTTTGCCTCTAATATATATTTGTGATGCATTTCTCAAGGATTAGGAATGCAGTGCTTGCGTTTAAAATTGGATCCAATGAAATTGTTAACTCCTTGCAGCAAAAATGCAAAGGTGGCATTGGCATATAATCTCAAAACAATGCTTCCACATACAGAGAGTGTGAGCACATATTCATCATGATCATTTGATTATCTCATTGAAAGCCATAATGCAAGTGCCTCATGGCGTGCTGTGTATGTGCATTTGGTTGCCATTTGAAGTGAAAATGGGACCAAAATTAAAGTGATGTTAAACCCCACACCCAAAATGTAATAAATTGCAGCTTACCAATCCTTAGATGTGGTAGCTGCATCAGTTTTCTTTTTTTCCCCCTGTTTTCACCTGGTGATCTGGGTAAGGGCCAGGACAAGGTCATCTAGAACTCAAGGTGAAGATGACAAATGGCAACCCCTGCCCCCAAAATGCATGAGTATTATGTGTCAGCAAACTCCCCTCCCACACCTCCACAAAAATGTGAGCACTAATCTTCCCACTTACCCACTAAGCATAAACTTCTTTTGCAAGCCAAAATTTTCCCCGAACAAAAATTCCTCAAATCCCTTCTCACAGCTCAAATCCTCTACCTCCCCAAATCCCTCCCTCCTAGCACAAATCCACTACCCCTCAAATTTCACCTCTGAGCATAAATCCCCCTCCCTCCAAATCCCCCTCTCCCAGCACAAATATCCCCAAATCCACTCTGCTAGCACTAATCCCCCCCCCCCCAAATTTCCCCTCCTCTCACAAATCCATCCAATGATCCCTACCAGCACAAATCCTCACTACCCAAATCCTCCTTCCTAACACATATCCACCCTCCTAGTACAGCTGCCCCTCTCCAAATCACCCCTTCTTGTACATCCACCAAAATTCTTACTATGCCCTGGGCAGGCGCCCCTTTTGCTCACCTCTTGTTCCAGCCCTGGTCTAGCCAGTAACACACCTCCTGTATTAGAATACCCCCACTCTGGATGAAGGAGCACGGGGGCACAGCAGACAGCAGTATTGTAAGTCAGGGGGGGGGGTTAGACGTATTAGAGGATTTAGATACACTACCAAACTGAAGCCAATCCCAAGCTAACACTTTATAAGCAGCTACGGTTTGGGATAAAGTTTTTACATAAAGAAATAAAAGTAGAAGAAAAGAAGAAAGAAAAGAAAGAAAGAAAGAAAGAAAGAAAGAAAGAAAGAAAGAAAAAGAAAGAAAGAAAAGAGGTACTAGAGGATTTGGATACACTAACAAACTGAAGCCAATCCCAAGCTAACACTTTATAAGCAGCTACGGTTTGGGATAAAGTTTTTACATAAAGAAATAAAAGAGAAAGAAAGAAAGAAAGAGAGAAAACGAGAGAGAGAGAGAAAGAGAAAGAAAAGAGAGAGAGAGAGAGAGAGAGAGAGAGAGGGGGGGGGGGAATAAAAAGAGAGAGAAAGAGAGAGAAAAAGAAAAAAGAAAGAGAAAGAAAGAAAGAAAGAAAGAAAGAAAGAAAGAAAGAAAGAGAAAGAAAGAAAGAGAAAGAAAACTAGTGCAGCCATCACATCTAAGAATTGGTAAGCTGCAATATAATAAATGTTTGCTTTTGGGTTTGATACCACTTTAAAGGCATCACAATGCACTAAACTTAGGTAGGTCCATGGGTTAACATATGTTGCCGTAACTGCAACACACAGATCTGAACAGGCATTTTCTGTTGCAGTTTTTTTCTGAAGTCTTCTTTATGTGTTTACACAATTCCATCCCTTTCTCCTACTCAGTTTTCATTTCCCTGACCAACTTTTGTCCTCACAATATATTCTAGTTTTTCCCTCAAAGGAACAAAGCCTGCCTAACCTTCTGATTACATTATAGATAAAAATTCACAAATGTATCCTTATCATCTAATTATACCGATCCTTCACACCTTTTCTGTTGAACTTTCTTTTTCTTATTTCTTATCATTGAAGAAAAAATGCTAAACTATTAAAGAACGGAGACGAGATGAATAATTTATTTACCTAAAAGCACAAACAGCTGCGTAATGTGTCACAGTTGTTATTTTTTTAAAGCAAGGAATGCGCACAAAGACAGTACTTATATTTTATATTTTTTCACAAAGTGCCCCCCTGCCTGTCCCTATTCGCTGGCACTACCTGAGAATGATGCATTCGAACAATGCAATCACAATTAATGGGAACTGATGTTAAATGTGTCATTTCCTCACTTCCCATCTGTAACTTCACGTTATGCCTCTGCAACTGGCAGACATGGATTTTTATAGCACATTTGCCAACATTTTATTAGTTCTTGCGGCTTAATAAACAGATTTTTATTGAACACATATCAGCATAAAATGGAAATGGTTCATAGTATAAAACAGACAGCTATGAAATATAAAGTTTTTGAGAGACCTGAAACGGTGTTATGTGCGCTTCTAGCCCCCAGCACTCCCTCTGTCCCTAGTGCTTTAAATTTTGGAACGGTAACAAATTTGCTCTAAGCTCCAGAATTGCATTCCCAGCACAAGTTTTCCCACTTTTTGATTAGACATGTTAGCTACAGCAGCCGGGATCAATGTTCTGTCTGTGTTTTAAAATGTCAGGCTTAACCAAATCTTCTCCTCGCTTATTAAAGATATCTAATCTTGTGTTAATTGTAATTGTGGCGAAGGGGAAGAATTTCTAAAGAGACTGTCTTTGATACCCATCTTCAGAATTACATCATTGGATATAAATGGAATACCAGTCGCTGTCATCAAACTCAAAGAACTCATGTCTGGGCTTGTTGACGTTACTGACTGCAACAAATTGAATGCTGTCTTAAACCCACAAAAATGTATCATAGTGCAGCTTACCAATTCTTAGATGTGATGGCTGCATTACTTTCCTCTTTATAGGCTTTTTTCCTTTATTTTCCTGCAAGTAAGTATTCTATTTTTCAAATTCCTTCAACAGACCAAGCTGTCCAGCAAACATTGCAGTTAGAGGGTTGAGGCAAACCATTTTACATTGACAGGGGTGCTTACAATGGTCAGCTTTTATTTATTTATGTAAAACTTTTATCCCAAAAGGAATGGAACTGTTGCTGTAACTGCTTAAAAAGTGTTAGCTGGAGTTCAGCTTTAATTTGTTAATCAAGTCCATCTAAATTTGCTACTACATTTAAAGTGGTTGTAAAGGCTCAAGGTTTTTTACCTTCATGCATTCTATATATGAAGGCAAAAAACCTTCTGTGTGCTGCACCCCTTCCAGACCCCCTTAATACTCATCTAAGCCCTCTCTTATCCAGCGATGTGCTGGGACAGAAGCAGGAGCCATTGGTTCCCACTGCTGTCAATCACAGCCAGTGAGCCAATGTGAAGAGAGAGGGGGCAGGGCTGAGCCGAGGCTCCATGTGTGAAGGACACACGGAGCAGCGGGTACCCCAATAGCAAGATACTTGCTGTGGGGGCACCCGAAAGGAGGGAGGGGTCAGGAGCACCGGTGGGAGAGCCAAGAAGAGGAGGAACCTGGGCCACTGTGTACAAAACCACTGCACACAGCAGGTACATATAGACATGTTTGTTATTTTTTTCTTTTAATAAGCCTTTAGAATCACTTTAATACTACCATCCCACCAGACTGACAATGTTACTGTCCAATGGTGTCTCTGTTACTCCGCCAGTGGAACGAAGACACTCTAAGAGAGAACATGTACTACTGACCAGATTACCAGGTGAGAATAAAGGGGAAAAAAGCCTGCAAAAAAGGAAAACTATTTTAGTCACCACATTTAAGGATTGGTAACAGCAATACACCTGTATTAGATATTTGTGTGTGTGTTTAATAGCACTTTAAAGTGGTTGTAAACCTGCAGTGCATGCAACATAAAAGAAAGGCACCCTATTAATGTGTTCACACTGCAAAAACAAACCTTAAAATTTGTATCCCCTGCGCCTGGCTGAGCCCTCAGAATATCGCCAAAACAGCTCAGGAGTCGTGACCTCACTGGACTCTCCTCCCATCTCTACACTCCCTCCAGCCTGACAGCAGGACAGCGTGAACCCCTGGTGGCTGGCCACACCCCCTCATGTGTACCAACCAATTGGAACTTGTGGAAGGCACCACCTGACTTCAGCATGGTCAATGTGCTGAGGTGCATTATTGAGCCAGAGGAGGTAGAGGGAACGATCTGTTGCTGGAATGCCCTTTCTCTATCGTATATGAGAGAATTAGGTAGTCTGTCAGTCACAGGTGGGGAGGTGTGGGATTCTTTGCAAGACTGGGGACAGATGGCTTCTGATGCTTAACTGTACCAGGTAAACTGTTTAGTTTATTTTTTATTTTTCAGGTTTACAACCACTTTAACCACTAGCCTACAGGGCACTTATACCCCCATGCTGCCCAGGCCAATTTCCAGATTTCAGCGCTGTTGCACTTTGAATGACAATTGCACAGTCATGCAACACTGTACCCATGTGACATTTTTATCATTTTTTTGTGACAGATAGAGCTTTATTTTGGTGGTATTTAATCCCCTCTGGGTTTTTTATTTTTTCTTAAACAAACCAAAAACCACTGAAAATTTTGAAAAAAAATTTTTTTCTTAGTTTTTGTTATAAAATCTTGTAAATAAGTGATTTTTCTCCTTCACTGATGTGCGCTAATGAGGATGTAGTAATGGGAACTGATAGGCTGCACTGATGGACACTGATAGGTGGCACTGATGGGCACTGATGAGGAGGCACTGGTAGGTTGCACTGATGGGCATTAACAGGCATCACTGATGGGCACTGAAAGACAGCACTCATATATGGCACTGATAGGTGGCACTGCTAAGCGGCACTGATAGGCGGCACTGACTAGCACTGATAGGCAGCACTGACTGGCACTAATAGGTGGCACTGATTTGCAGCACTGATAGGTGGCACTGACTGGCACTGATGGGTGACACTGAAAGGCAGCTCAGATGGGCACTGATATGTGGGATTGATGTGGCACTGATGGCACTGAAATGTGGCACTGATGGGCACTGGCAGGTGGCATGGATGAGCACTGAGAGCTGGCACTGATGGACACTGACAGGTGGCGCTGCTGGGGCTACAGAGATCATCCAGGCGTGACAGCTCATGAGGAGAGAAATGCTGATAACCGGCATTTCCCTGTTTACATGTGATCAGCTGTGATTGGACACAGCTGATCACATGACCGAGCCGGCATCTTCGTCTCTTTCCGTTGATCGGTGATCCGCTGTGTTCGAGGGACACATCGCAGCGCCGATTGCCACGCTGCACGCTCACTGAGCCGGAGGTTAGAATGGGAGGACATCATATGACATCCTACCAGAACGAGAGAACCACCTTGCGTCCATCATTCTACTATATGGCGGGCGGGAGGTGGTTAAGTAATCAAAAGAGCAATAACGTGTGCCATATGCCATTGCTCCTCTCGTTCTCACCTCCTACAGTGTCTTATTCTTACTGGAGACTAGTGTTTGAACACATAAACAGTATGGGCATTCAGCGGGCTTTTCACTTCCCATGCCCACAATGCACTGTGCCCTAACAGTGCATTGCGATTGGCCAAAGCAATGCACCTGACCACAGGTCAGGTGGAATGCTTTGGCCAATCACAACGAATGATGATGTCACAAGGGGTGGGGGTGTATTTAAGAACTGTCGCCCCGGCATTGCTGTCAGACGTTGGGAGCCAGCGTCGAGAGGACTTTTAAAAATGTTTGTTTGCAATAAAGGACTTGTCAAAGACTACTGTAATTTTTTACACTGCACTTTTTTTGAAAATGAGTAACGCTACCGTGTAGCCATGTAGGGCCTGGTATGGACGGGGGGGGGGGGGGGGTGTCCATTTTTGAATTGCCGGGCAATGCCAGAAATTCAGGGGAACCCCGCTGACAGCTGAAACATTAGAGAATGTTTTCCTTACTAAAATACCGCATGACCTAATAATATAACTAATACGGTATTTCAGCAGCTGTGCAGTATCCTAACACATACTCAGATGCGGTAAGATACCGCTTAGTGAACTGTTCCCTTTCATTAGGCTTGAATGTTCGACCACAAACGGAATGGAGGTGTTCGGCCCATCACTAATGGAGACTTACCTGGAATTGAAAAGCTTCAATCCCTCATGATTCACAGATTTATACTAACTAGTGGTTTGGATTTTATCTGCCCTTGAGTGTTCCACAGGTATGAGCCCATTATATCCAGTGGTTTGGGGCATACCTATTTGCTGTGAAATTCCTAGGCACACCTATGGGTTATTGTTTTAGTTGCTATAAATAGAAGTACTCAGTTCCAGCAATAGCAATTTGAGAATCTATTCTAAAGCTTCTATCCATCTTGCCCATGATTTCTGTCTGCTCCCTGCCCCAATGTCATTCAGTTTTTTTGGATGATCTCTGTTTGCTGCCTGTCCGGACCTCCAGCTTGTCTGGGCCATGATCTCATCTCTCATTTCTGTACCTTGTCTCATTGCTGTCAGCTGTTGCAAGTCCAGGTGTATTTGAAGGCTGCAACCTAGGAGACATCCTACAGCAAAGTTCATCAGCCTGGTGAATACCTAGTGGATTCTGCACTTTGGCTCTTTTTAAGCCCTAAATACATCTGGTGATGAGGAAGATCCACATCCACTATGATGCTTTCCTTCTGAATATGGTAGTTGTATGATTTTTATATTCTGATCCTCTGGTTTCAATCTAGCATACATGTATCGCTGTACACTGTATTCAACTCCAGCCAATCGGCCACATCTCTCCTACATGTTTCATCCACATTGGGCTTAATGTGGGTGAAACATGTCAGAGGAACATGACCAATGGGTGGAGATTTGAGCTAAGGCCTGTCTTTCATTTGTCTTACACTGGAGTTGAATACACTGTGTGGCGGTACCTGTATGCTGTATTATATGTTGGTGCGAGATGTGCGCTACCTATGCTAGCACCTGAATACAGAGTGTAAACTTGGGCGACTGATACTGCAGGCTTAGAGTTGGCACTGATCTGTAATGGTACCTCTGGTTTCAGTGCGTTGCGTGCCACCTTCTACCTGCACTATATACAGCCTCCTGGGATATGTGTATAGCACTACCCCCAAAAGGAGCTGCTGAATTATTTTGTGATTTCTAATCACACCTGAAGATAACACACCACATTCACCCAGCACTTACTGACACAAGTATAAGGCCAAGCATAACATTGACAGGGGTGCCTAAAAGGAGAGAGGATTAGCATCTGTACTTATACAAACAATCAGTAAGACTATAATGTTAATCTCAGAGATATGGTTAAACACCTGACGTATTCTGGCTAACAGTAATTACAGAACTGAACTGCATTTACCTAGCAACAGTATATAAAGACAGTTCTAACTTGCTTTAACAGTCCGCGTTTTGTTCTACTGGTCAGTGATAGATGAAATAATAAAAAAAAAGAATCTGTTGACCGGCAAAGTTGGGGCCCTTGAAGAAAGCACAACAGTTTCCGTCAGTAAAGAACTTCATACATATATAATGTCCATAGGCACAAAATCACATTATGGCAATATATGCAATCTCTCCTTGAAGCAGAATCTGGGATAACTCTCAGCAGTAAACCATGTAAAAACAGAAAAGAAAGTCAGAGAGAGACTATTTAGGAGTAGTATTTATGAAAAGCTTCATGTAATTTAAAATAAAAGTATTGCACTCACATATTTAAAAAGTATACAGGCATAGCTACAATTCTCCAAAAGGTGGCACACTTCCAGGTGGGCAATGGTATGGACTGCACAGATGTACTTCAAGGCTGGTTCGGTGGCCTTGATGATGCCATACCCATCATGTGGATGTGACAATACTTTTCAGGGTGGGCTTGAGAAAGGGGCTCCCCACCTTAAAACATGCTGCCAAATCCACACATTGCATATGATGGCATCACAGCCACCAATCCCACCCGGAGTTACTTTTTATGCAGTCCACAGTGGCCGCTACTTGGATTACACACAGAGCTCTTCCTCCTATTGTTTCTACTGGCTCCCCAGCATCTACTGCTTGATACTCCATTCACACAGAGGGGCTTGCTACTATGCCATTTCCCACCTGGAAGGTGGCCACCTGCTGGACAGCTTGTAGATATGTATGTGTACTTTTTTAATATGTTTGTGCAATACTTTTATTTTATTTTATTTTATTTTACATGAAGGTTTTAATAAATACAACACTGAGATAGTGGCACTCTCTCTCTCAATCTGCCTTTCTTTTCTGCTTCAACAGATTTTTTATGATGTCAGTCTCTTACCAGACTCAAGGCACCCCATGGGTCTCTTCAGGCATCCAAGTCACACCTTGTATCCCCAATTGTGGTCAGCTATGGCAGAGTTCTGTTCAGACAACAGCATCAGTCCAATGTGTTTCCCAACACACCTGCTTGCTTTAAGATAGTCCTCTCCTATTTCCTCACCAGCCTGCAGACCCCTTCTCGTCGCTCTGTTGCATCAACCAGTTACCTCCAGGATTGAATAAAACTCAGCCAAGATGGCTGTCTCTGCACTAGAGACTCTCCATAGATGGGTATTGCTAAGTGGTCTCCTTGGCTGCTGCACTTCCGCATTAATGAATATTCAGTTTAACCCTGTCCACACTGCAGAAGGAACAAAGGAAGAAGTTGGACAGCAATTATCAGCTATAGTCCCAGTTACATTTGTCATTATTATTCCAGGAGGTTTGAGAAGCAGGGACACATCATTCATGCTTAGGCGAGAATGGAGGCATGGGGTGAGCTGCAAGGCACATCAGCCAAACAAAAAAGTCACTTATTTCACTCTGTGGAGAGGGGGAGGGTTTTTTTTTTGAGTGATGGTCCACTTTACCGCTATATAATATAAATGTAAAAACATAAAAATGATAATATGACAAGCACTACTAAATGTCACATGAGCCAAGCAATGAAGCAGCACCTAAGATCCCTCATGCAACAGGTACTAATGCTTGTATGCTTGTTGCAGGTATGGTGTGCATGCATGTAAATTTGCCTCTGGTACCTTTCACAGTCTATGGCTTCTTTACGTTTCAGTGGTTCTTAGACAGTTAAGAAGACAGATTCAGGTTGATGAAATTAGTGTATGATATATGAACCATAAAATCTCTCAGTGGATCCAGACTAAAATATTTTAAAGTGATAGTAGTCCTTTCAAGTACCTATAGATAGAAAATGGTGGGTGCTCAGTTCAATGGTTTCAGCTGTGTCTGTGGTAGCTTACAGTTGTAACAAATATTCCTGAAGTGTAGGGATCCAGCAAGCCAAGTTGGATTTCCAGTTTCAAGTATTATTGTTTCCCAAGATTAGTCAGACTCCAGGGGTGTCCACAGGATGCATGCACCTGCATGCCTTAATGATCCAGTATGAATAAATGGCAATTATATCTACATATGCAGTAATAATTAAAACCTAATGTTATTAAATACAGTGTTCTGCCATCTCATGTCTTAAAAAAGTTTACATGTGTAAGGCCAAACAACAAAAAATCATTCTTTTGTATCTTAAAAAAGCTAATTTAAAGCTGAGCTCCAAGCACATATTAAAAATCTTGGAAGGAATCCTGGAAAATCACTTTTTTAATATAGCTGACAATACCCATGTTTTTTCTTAATAATACCTACTGCGTAAGTAAGCCCTAAATAATAATACCTACTGAGGCAACACGGCAAGCCAGTCAGGCTCTACTATATTGTACATTGCTGTTCATCTAACACTGGAAGCTTCCTGCCAAGAGAAGAGAGAGAAAAGTGATGATCTCATCAGTGTGCTGCCACTCCTTCATTGTTAAATCACAGGTTGAAGTAGTTTGTAGATTAGACTGTATTGCAGAACTGCGGTGCATTCTACAGAAAGGTCTAAGTCATGTAAAAACTAGGTGTAACAGCTACTATTCTGGTGCACGGTAATCTGTTGCTAACCCTCAGGAAAGCTTGGCTTTGTTGGAATTTTTTTTTATCTGATAGCATATTGCTCTCTTGGAATAAGAGCAGATCTGATGATTGTATACAAGTGCCATAAACAAACACACCAGTAAAAAAGCTTGTGTACAGGTAACAGATTTTTTTGCAGTTGGATTATTTTTTAAAGTTCAGCCAGTATCTAAAGTTTAAAGCCAGCTTCAGACTACAAAGATGAATTGTATCCGACTAAACTAACAGATTCCAGAGGTCTGTACCATAAATCTCAGAAACAGATTATGCCTTGTTTCTGTATGCATTATATCAAACATTCTTCAAAAGATATTTACTCCAGGTTACCCTTTGGCTTGTTCAGCAGTCTGCCGAAATTGCTTTGAACTGAGCAGAAACGTTTCAGACAGTTCTTCAGAAAGGCATGGTTGATCTCTTTGAGGAATACAAGTACCAAACACCTAGAGGTAGCAGACAGGGAACACATCAAGAATCAAGATCCACATGTACCCATCTGGTGTCATCTCTTGATGCCATCTGTAGCAATTATGCACACAGATATGGACGCGGTCATCCATCTTGCTCAAGATTTCCCATCTTGTATCATTCTCTCTCCCTCCATTCCCCCTCCCTCAGGAATGTGGTCTTTGTGTATGCTGGGTTCAAAAAGACATCAGGCACAGTTGGATACACTTCATGGTTGTAATCCCAATGAGCTGGTGCCCGGGTGTCTGTTAGCTTCTCGCTCTGAAGATGATCGTAAAGCTATAAACCAGTCCTTCACTGGACATGAAAGACATTCCGGATAGCAGTAAAACATATATCTCATTTGGAGACCACTTTTTTAAACATTTTAATAACTTCTTGTAGGAAATACATACAATCGAACAAAGCATATATTTGGATAGCTCAGTTTAATGTGAGTTGCCTGATATCTTACACCCCTAGTTAAAGTCTACAGGACAGTAGAAAGCCATATAGTTCTAGCTGAAATAGTAAGATATGGCATATTTGATATCTAGACGTTCTACAGATGATTCTGCATATTATCCTACCAGTGGATAGCATGCTTCATGTACCTATGGAAGATTATTGACCATGGTATAAACATGTGAGGGATTTGGTCATAGCAGAGTTCCCCGCCTAAACACCCTCCCCAAATGAGGCGATTGGTTCTCTGCTTTAAGGAGACACCCTGCTGTTGGACTAGAAAATAGGCTGTCAGGCCTGAAAGAGTTAAGTTGAAGAATTCTCCCTTTTTAACATCAGGAACCAACTTTGGGAGAAAAGGCACCCTTTTGCTCTGACACTTGAATGCTGCTTAAACAAGGCTGACTGCAAGTATTCTACCTCTCTAAACTTCTCTCTGTTATCTCTCTGTTGTGGTATTGCTCTCTGTATATATATATATATATATATATAGGCTACATCTTTTAAAATTTAAGCCAAAATGCATTCTGTTACATGTCTTTGGTATAAAAAAAATCCCAGTAAGTGTATATCAATTTGTTTGTGTGAAAGTTACAGCGTCTACAAACTATGGTATATATATTGTAATTTACGCAGCTTTTACTTTCTGACTGCACATTTCTTGAGGTGCTAGAATGCCAGGGCAGTACAAATCCCTCCCCCAAATGACCCCTTTTTGGAAAGTAGACACTCCAAGGAATTTGCTGAGAGGCATGTTGAGTCCATGGAACATTTTGTTTTTTGCCACAAATTTTTGAAAAAGTACAACATTTTATTTTACAATACAAAGTTGTCACTTAAATGATATATTGCTCATGCATGCCATGGATATATGAAGAATAACACCCCAAAACACATTGTGCTAATTATCCCGAGTATCAAATCCAATGACCACCTCCAGGCTTTCAAAGGGCATTTCCTCATGTCACTTCCTCACTACCTATCACAGTTTCAGAGGCTCTAAAATGCCAGGATATTACAAATAACCCCCCCCCCCTCCAAATTACCCCTTTTTGGAAAGTAGATAACGCAAGGAATTTGATAAGAGGCATGGCGAGTATTTTTACAGATATAATTTTTGTCACAGGGTTTTGAAAAAAAAAAATGAAATAATACATTTTTGTTTTCTTTCTTAGTTTTACAAAAACTTGTGGCAACAAATGAAATCTGCAAAATACACACCATGCCCCTTAGCAAATACCTTGGAGTGTCTACTTTCCAAAAAGGGGTCATTTGGAGGGGTGCTTCTACTATCCAGTGCCAACAATAGAAGCTTATGCCACACATCAAATAAAAAGTGAAGTGCTTAAAAATGTGGAAAAATAAATGTGCAACTAAGCAAATTCACAAATATATCTCACAAATATATATAAATTGAAAGATGGTAATGGTAAATAAATGATAAAAATATTAAAAGTTCATAAAATCCTCTGGGCAAAACACACCATGATTATACCTGCGTTTATGTCATAAAATTAACTATGATATGCATATACATAGTCACAGGGAAAGGCAGTCGACTGGGTTCTCTTTAACCACCTCCCGCCCGCCATATAGTCCAATGACGGGTGCAAGGTGGTTCTCTCGTTCTGATAGGACGTCATATGACGTCCTGCCATTCTCACTGCGCATGCGCGGCTCAGGGAGCACGCAGCGTGGCGATCGGCGGTGCATTGTGTCCTTCGGACACAGGGGATCACCGATCATGGAAAGAGCCGGAGATGTCGGCTCGGTCATGTGATTAGCTGTGTCCAATCACAGCTGATCACATGTAAACAGGGAAATGCCGGTTATCGGCATTTCTCTCCTCTCGAGCTGTCCCGCTGACAGCTCGTGAGGAGAGGAGAGCCAGTAATTGGCTTTCCGCGGAGGGGACATGTACACTGATCATCAGGGCACTGATGATCAGTGTGCCCTGATGATCAGTGTGGCCCCAGAAGTGCCACCTGTCAGAGTCCATCAGTGCCAGCTGAACAGTGCCACGTGCCAGTGTCCATCAGTGCCACAATGCCACATATCAGTGCATACCAGTGCACATCAATGCCAAAAATCAGTGCCCATCTGAGCTGCCCTTCAGTGTCACTCATCAGTGCCAGTCAGTGCCACCTATCAATGCCAATCAGTGCCACCTATCAGTGCTGCCAATCAGTGCCACCTATCAGTGCCAATTATCAGTGCCAGTCAGTGCCACCTATCAGTGCGCATCAGTGCCACCTAACAGTGCCAGTCAGTGCCCCTAACAGTGCCAGTCAGTGCCACCTATCAGTGCCATATATCAGTGCTATATATCAGTGCTGCCTTTCAGTGCCCATCAGTGATGCCTGTCATGCCCATCAGTGCCACCTACCAGTGCCTCCTCATCAGTGCCACCTATCAGTGTCCATCAGTGCATTTTATCAGTGCCCACCACTACAGCCTCATTAGCGTACATCAGTGAAGGAGAAAAATCACTTATTTACAAAATTTTATAACAAAAACTAAGAAAAAACTTTTTTTTTTTTTCAAAATTTTCAGTGGTTTTTGGTTTGTTTAAAAAAAAATAAAAAACCCAGAGGTGATTAAATACCACCAAAAGTAAGCTCTATCTGTCACAAAAAAATGATAAAAATTTCATATGGGTACAGTGTTGCATGACCGCGCAATTGTCATTCAAAGTGTGACAGCGCAGAGAGCTGGAAATTGGCCTGGGCAGGAAGGGGGTATAAGTGCCCTGTAGGCTAGTGGTTAAGGAGATGCGTGGGTCACCCTCTTACTGGGATGGTCATCGGGGGATAGCTGGGAAGTTAAAATGCTCGGTGCAGAGCAAAATAAGGGGGGATAGCCATAGTGTAGTATTTCAAATCACAAATACTTTAAAGGTATAAATTAAAAAAGCCAAAAGTAAACATACACTATGGTTCATATAGTGCACAATAGGTATTGCAGTAAAATTGCTTGATAAAACACTGACCAGTTGGTACCAAATGATGACCGCCGACCTCCGTGATCCGGCGGTATAACGTCTGGGTGCACAGGGCTCCTCCCTTGACATGTTTCGAACTACAGTTCTTTTTCAAAAGGGGTGTGCTCCATAAGCTGTCAGATGTTATCAAAAAGCTATTTATAGCTTCAAAAACTGTGCTTTAATTGATAAGTGCCATCTTGCTGAAGACCAAACGCTACTGCGCATGCGCATCACCCAATTTCTAACCACTTGAGGACCAAGTCTTTTCTGATACTTTTTGCTTACATGAAAATACAGGTTTTGTTGCTGGAAAATTACTTTGAACCCCTAAACTTATATTTTTTTAAAGCAGAGGCCCTAGAGAATAGAACAGTTTGTATTGAAATTTTTTATGCCATACAGTATTTGCGCAGTGTTTTTATTTTTTATACTATGTCTTTCATTTTTTTTATCGCTTTTATTGTTTTACAGAGAAAGTAAGTACCCCTGTGCTAGCAATAGGCAGTGACAGGTATTCTTTTCTGAGAAATCTGGGGTCTATTAGACTCTAGATCTCTCCTCTTCCCTTAAAGCATCTGATCACACCAAGATCATTGTGATCAGAAGCTTTCCCAATTTTAAAATGGCGCTGTTTATATCCGGCGAAATGGAAATGATGAACTACTTTTAGCATCCGTTCTCTTAGACCATAGAGATGACTGAAAGCATTTCGGTCTACTATCAGCTCTATGGTCAGCCAGCAGAATTTCCGGCTGCATTCTCGGTTTCCCTGGTAGGACAGGAGAGCCCAAGAAAACCATGGAAGCCGGCAGGGGAGAGACATCCCTTCGTGCTGTTTGTAAAGTGATCTAGTGGCTAATTAGCCACTAGGATTGTTTTACATGAAAATAGTAGTAACAATGTACTACTCTGGAGGGGTGATCGGGGATTTTTTTTACACTTTTCATTGCAGGAGTAATAAAGATTATTGCACCTGCAATGCAATGTTTGCTTTGAACTGTCATGAACAGGTCAAGTTAATAATAGGTCAAAATACAGTGATCTGTAATTGGTTCCAGCCAGGGGCGGACTGACCATTTGGAAACTTGGGCACTGCCCGAGGGCCAGGGGTCAGTAGGGGGCCCCATGAGATGCCCCTGGTACCTTTTTCATAGGCTTTTTTGAGTCTGTGAAAGGACACAGGGGCCCCATGATCCCCTATTATTCGGGGGCCCCATGAGTTGTCAGTCCGCCCCTGGTTCCAGCTGGTCACATGGTACAGGGTGCTGTGATTGGCCTCACATATCATGTAAGAGCTGTGAGCCAATCACAGCTCACAAGGAAGAGAAGTAGAGCTGTCATGAATCAATCGGATTCATAACAGCTTGTTTGTCATTGGGATCATCTGATCGCATAGCGATCACATGACCACGGGGATCTTCATTCAGCTGTGTCCGGTAGACACAGCAGACGTGGGGGGGAGAGTTGCACATCTGCTCGAGTGCACAGCAACCCCCTGTGTTGGTACACCAGCGACATACGCGTACATTGCTGGTCCTGTAGCTGCCGCCCATCCGCAGTACAAGTGGTTAATCTGAATACACAATCATGTACAAATAAAAAAAAAGGAATCTTGCCAGTATACATTTGGACTTTTAAGGTGAACACAGCTTCTTTACCTTACTCATTATCATTACTTTGCAAGGTGAACAGCCTCTATTATTTCAGTAAATCAACCCTATTGTCTTAACTTGAACAGCAAACACTGTGCACAGTACTATGTAGGCGTGAGTGAAACTGAGTTTTCATTTCCCATTTCAGTGAAAATCAGGAGAGTTTGGCAAAATGTTAATGTTTAGGCAAAATACATTAAAGACAATCAGAAATGTAAAAGTAAGATGTGGTTTGAAGGGTGCAATCAGCTTCTGTTACAGAAGTGGCTTTCCTATTATCCTGGTTCTCAGGGCCAGTGCTACCACTAGGCAAACTAGGCAGTCGCCTAGGGCACACTGCCACCCAGGGCGCAGCCACAACCAGGGCTACTGATAGGGGAGTATGGCTGGCCCTGCTGTAACATGAATTATATTTTCCCTGGGCCCCATCAATTCACGAGAGGGGCCCAGGAGGCAAGGAGCAGAGAGGGACTTTTTTTTAAAATTTTGGGTGCAGGCAGCTAAAGCTACACAACATTTTCAGTGGAGGACAGCCATGGCTGCACACAGCCTTTCACTGGCGGAGTGATTATTTCACTGCTGGAGTGATTATCCCTTCCTCCGCTGAGGAGGGAAAAAGGCGAGGCTGTAGCCTGGCAGCAGGAGGTGATTCAGCAGAGAGTTGGCCGAGGGCCAAGGCAGCAATGGGAACCCAGTGCACAGGCAAGCTCACAATTTCCGTTTTCTGAGGCACAGACAGAGATACTGTAAGGGACCGCCCGGCGGTACTACTAGCACTCCACTGAATAGGCGTCCCCAGCGCACGGAGTCTAAGTCCCAGGGTGCTTGTTCACCAGGGCCCCTGATGGTGGGGATGGACTTGGAGCTCCCTGAGACCAGGTCGTGACTACCGGGTGCGTCCGTCCGTCAGTGGTAGTAGTATGCGCAAGGGGCTCTCCACGGGGAAGAGAGTCTGATGTGAGGAGGTCAGAAGACCCCACTGCACGGGATGGATGGATGGATGAGCAGGGTCAGACGGGCCGGGTCGGTAACAGAGAGGGCGGCAAGGTACAAGGCAGGGGGTGGTTAGAATGGTCGGGTCACACGCCAGGTCAGCAACAGCAGGTCAAATCCAATAGGGGGCATTCAGGAGAGAGGTCGGGCAAAAGCAAGGGTCAGATCAACAGGCGAAAAACAGCAAGGTCAGGTACAATCCGGGTCAATAACTTACAGGGTACAGGTTCACAGGATTCAGAATGCAGGAAAGACCAGAAGGCACTGAATGACAGCTCAGGGTCGTTTAAATATCCCGCCCCTGCGCTGCCATTCGTGCCCAGCGGGCGGCCGCGGCTTCTACTGCGCATGCGCGAACTTGAACGCGCGGCCGGCCCGGAACCAGTGCTCTAGTCCCTGCGCCGGGCGGCATACTGCGCCTGCGCCGGGGGACCAACGCGGCGGGGATCGAGGGGATCCCTGACAGATACAGTCATACGCTGTATACAGGCAGACATACAGCACCTTCTGTACTGTGTGATGATTATCATGATAATGATGACAACCACATAAGTACAGTGAGGTCCTTCCTGTTAGTTATTTACACTTGTGTTTGAGGGACATTAAAAATGTGTGGCTGAGCCACATCTTTACTGTCCCCCCAACCAGGGGCGGACTGATCATTTGGAAATTCGGGCACTGCCCGAGGGCCCGTGGTCAGTAGGGGCCCCATGAGATGCTCCTGGTACCTTTTTCATAGGCTTTTTTGAGTTTGGGCAAGGACACAGGGGCCCCATGATCCCCTATTGCCCGGGGGCCCCATAAGTTGTCAGTCCGCCCCTGCCCCCAACCACTCCGCGTTATGCTGCAAAGGCACTGCCACTGTATTATGGCAATAGTGGCGGGGTGTTGTGTAAAACCCCCCACTGCTGTACTATGATGGCAATGCCTTTGCAGCATAATGGGGAGTGGTTGGGGGATGGTAAAAGTGTGGCTCAGCCGCACATTTTTAATGTCCCTCAAACACAAGTGCAAATAAGAATTAACAGGAAGCATTTCATTGAGTGTGTATTAATCTGACAGCCTGACTGTCAGGTGGAAATGATCCAATAGACTGTGCGGCCTCCAGATCACTTCCACACACACACACACACACACACAGACACACCCTCCCTTGTGCCATGCCATGCTTCCGAGGATCCACACTCCCATCACCACCGGTAGAAGGGAGGGAGATCAGTGAACACCTGTTCACTGATTTCGCGTTCCTGTTGATGACCCAGGAGTAACGTGTCAAACATCATGTCTAGGTCTTGGTGTAACTGTTCCCAGAGAGGATTGGATGAAGTTAGCTTGAGACAAAGCCGTCTTCTGAAAACTTCAGCCAATCCATGAAGAAGAGGTATGCAACAATGAGGTGCCTTGTAATCCATGCTGTGCGCAACATCACTTCCTCCCAGCTCCCCAGTCACCAACGTTGGCAAGGTGACTGGGGAGCAAGGAGAACTCATCCCTGTGCAGGCTAAAAAATTTTTTTTTTGAAGGGGTAGGGGGTAGGGGACAACGTAGCTGGTCTTGCCTAGAGTGCAAAATAATCTAGCACTGGCCCTGCTGGTTCTGTTCTTGTGCCAAAAAATTACCCTGTATTAACTTCATGACTATATGATTTATGATTTTTTTTGGAAAAGAAGTAAAAATAAGTTAAAGTGGTTCTAAAGGCTCAAGGGTTTTACTATGATGCATTCTATTCATGAAGGTAAAAAACCTCAATACTTATCTGAGCCCCAGATCTCTGCTTCCTCATTGGCTGAGGCAGCAAGCGGGAGCCATTGGCTCCAGCAGCAAGTGGGAGCCATTGGCTCCAGCTGCTGTCAATCACAGCCAGTCAGCCAATGAGGAGATA